TGGGGCAGAATCTTGAGGCCCGTCCGTCAATTTTGCCTGCTTTGTGAGAGTAGAAATAACAATTCTACAGTCTTTCTACCCATTCACTAGTGGTATTACTAATTGGTCGATTTACTGTAACTGTGAATATGACAGTGAAGAGATACAGTAGGCGCGAACAATTTTTAGATTATGTAACTGAGCTTTTAATTTTTATACGCGCACATTGAAATGTGTTCGTATATCCGATTGACTTTAAATTTATACACAGTGTTTAAGGTCATGAGATAAAGAAGCTTATTGATTTTCAGCCATTTCCGATAATTACTGCCAGATTTATGGTCCTTGATCACTTCAAAAATTCTTGTGGACGCTCTAGAGGCTAAAGTTAATATCTGATTGACTTTAAATTTATACACTGTGTTTAAGGTCATGAGACGAAGAATCCTATTGATTTTCAGCGATTTCCGATAATTACTGCCAGCGTTATGGCCCTTGATCACTTCAAAAAATCTTGTGTACGCTCGTTAATATCCGATTGACGTTAAATTCATACACAGTGTTTAAGGTCATGATGCGAAGAAGCCTAAATGTTTTATTACTGAAAAAAGTAAAAATATGCAACAACTTTTGTTGACTGTCGGACGATTTAGCTGCTGTGGGCGTATGTTTCGTTGCCTGGCAACCTATCTTTTGGGACTGGGCCTGAGGGGACTTTGTCTCACGGGGGCGCTTATTTGGTCTCTGAAATGCCATTTACTGGACTTTGGGGTCTGGGGAAAGGTTTTGCAGAATTCTGATGGTCAGAAAATACTTACAACATGAGTAAAATACGTTTTAATTCCTACTGGGATTAAATATGCAACAAGTAAAAATTCTTAAGTTCCATAGTTCGCCTTAACATTTCATAATTTAAAGATTTTTTACGTATTTCTGAAACAAACTATGCTTCCGATAACTTCTTACCAACTGTTCGACCAATGTTATTCGTATGAAAATCAATAATATAATTTATCAAAATCTTCCTAACAAACTCTCTCAATTTCTAACTTTTTGAATTGTTTGTATATTTGTGGTTTCTGAGTATGATGTCTTGTCCATGTATTTGTTTTTATGTAAATTATGTGTGGTGCAGTCCCCCTGGACTTACTATTAGACCAACATACTCATCACAGCGAAAAAAAATTTTTCAAACATGACAAGTTGACCAGGTTATTTTATACTATACCGTTGCAATTTAGGTGCACGGATTCACACAAAAATTTTCTCCTCTATTTTGGCATTGTTTACCTCATTAATTCATTTTGTTTGAGACCGACTGCAGTGAGCACTTATTTTGAGACCGACTATGTGACGTAAGAAATTTAGATGCACGTATATTAGGTATTTGAGATTTTTCCCTTCTAATTCATTTCGTCAGTTGCCGATGCATAATTTTGAGACCGACTGCAGTGACTGCACTTATTTTGAGACCGACTATTTTTCTCCCTGGGGGGAATTTTTTCTTAGAACAATTCACAACAGAATAAGGGTAAAAAAATATTTGTTTAAACATGATAAGCTGACATGGCTATTTTATACTAAAGTTTTGGGTGAGTAGCGTGACGTATGCAATTTATGTGCACGGATTCGCGCAAATACATAAAATTTGGGATTGTCCTTCTATTTTGGCATTGTTTGTTTACCTCATTAATTCAGTGAGCACTTGTTTTGAGATCGACTGCACTTCTTTTGCGACTGACTGCATTTATTTTGCGACCGACTATTGTTTTCGCGGGGGGGGGGGGACACACACACACACACCCCACACATTTACGCCCCTGCATGCAACTCAGTGGTTCTGTTGGGGCGATAAGTTCTTCAACTGTGAACATAATCTCAAAGCATGTCAAGTGTCCATGACTATTTATCATATCACAACCTGCATAGGTATTTGCATTTCAATATCCCGACGTTTCGACAAGTATACCCACCACCCTGAAACAAATACTCAAAGCCAATGGTAACCTACAACCAATAGCCCCGACTCAACCCAAAGGAGTCGTCTACCAAGTAACGTGTTCCTGTAATCAGACATACATTGGGGAAACGAAACGACCAATTGAAAAAAGAATAACAGAACATAAGTCCAAAGCTGCCACTAATAATTCAGCCATAGCAGAACATCTACAGAACCACCCACAACATCGAGTTAAATGGAATGAGGTCCAAATACTCACTGCCAACCAACAGAACAAATAAACCAGGAAGATCCTAGAAGCTATAAACATCAGAAGATATTCACCTGAACTTAATAGGGACTTAGGGCTTTACACCCCCAGGGCATATGATGATGTTATTAATCTGCATAATATAATTTAACTGTGGTAATCTAGCACCCTTGGTTGTATTAAAGTCCCCCCCCCCCTTTTTTTGGTTGTTATAGTTTTCGCTATTATAGATTATCCCAAACCTGTTCATTATTTTTTGTATTGTTATATTTGTATTTATAAATCCATATCATATTTAATTTCATGCATATATGGCCTCACTATCTGTGTCTAATCAGCTTTAACCTGTTTAATTATATCACCCTTTGATGGGTTTCATACTAGTTAATAACCCCCTACTCATGTATTAGAGCTTATTCAGCCAGCTAATTACCTTGTTGTGCTTTGTTAAATCTCCTTTACCTCTTATATTAATTTGATTACTGTTATCTTAATCCAAGTTGATGGTTTCACTATGAATTTTGTATATATATTGACCCCAGGTTTACTAAATGTCATTGTGCTTGATAACGATAAGAGGATACGTGTCGAAACGTCGTGCTTTTAGAATAAAACTAGTGATTGTATCCCATAAAAACTGTGTTCTGTTAATGTGTTTCCGATCGCTAAATGCCACTTAAAGATTATCATTTCTAATGTATACTATGGTATTACTACCAAAACTGAGTTTTTATAACTTTATATGTAAAGCAACAGCCATTAGTACACATACTATTAAAGGGACAATAACACTCTTGTTGGCTTGAAAGCTCCAGAAAATAAATAATATCTCTATCTAAGTACTAGATGTTTAAGTGTCCTACCTGTTGTGTAAATTATCCATTACATCCTATTTTACTTGTCCAGAGGGTTCGAAAATATTTTTAAATCGAAGTTTCATTTGAAAAGGTTTACGTTAGACGTTTCAAACCATTATGTTGAATTTTTCAAAATTTTTAAATAAGGTGTGTTAAGATGAAATTTGTATCATCAATTAATTGAAATATTCTAAAATAGTACAATTTGTTGACCAGAATATAGATTGGGACATATTATTCAGTTACAACAAGAGTGGTATTGAGCCTTTAAAAGAGGTTTTATAATTCAACACGTGCTGTTTATATCCAATTAATTTTGACTCATGCTAAAATAATAAACATGTATTTTTTACTCGTCCAAAATGTGTAACACATTGCAAAACATTAACATATCGTTAATGAATATTATTATACATGTAAAAAAAACAGTTCCTACTAGATTACTGGTTTCCTCCCACTGTTAAAGACCCCTACGCGCAAGCGAATTATTGAAAGAAAATTAAACCATATGTTAGTCCCGAAATGACCTAGTTTGTGTCGAGTGGAGGTTAAACCCCATTTCTCTCTCTCTCCCTACTAGATTATACTCCATTCCTTGTTACTTAAATTAGCGTTAATGTTGGGTTGTATTACAAGTATTTAGACTGTCACAATTGTCGAAATCAAAAGGCTAATTCCTTTCAAAAAATATAGATAATGGTGGCTTTTTAGAATGCTAATAAGATTCAGGTGCCTGCAAAAATCTGAAACTCTTGAAAATCAGCAGACCTCATGACATTCGACAGCCACGGTTAATTTTGATGTATCATGCAAATATAGCTTTTTTCCATTTATAAACAGTAATAATGTGAACCAAAGTGTTGTGCCAGTTTCCTGACACCGCATTTTGTTTCATCAATTTCCTTCTAGTCGGTAAAATAAAGTGTCTCAAATCCCATGACTTTTCTTTGGGACCACACATAATTGTTCGGCAGTTTTCGAGCAATGATCATTATTTGTGTCATCATTTTTCCAGGAATTGGCTAAAACATTTAAAATCAGTGTAATAAACAGTCTCAAGTTACATTCGATCGTCGTTCTTCTCCAAGCGCAACATGTTTTTCTGGCATCATCGTTTGTTTCATCGCTGGTGATCGGCTCCGTAAGCGGCGCCTCCCACTCCCAGGAATCTAATTAGGTTTTTTTGGGCCATTTCATTTCTATAATGTACCTTCTTCCAGATTTTGGTTTCAAAGCCACATAAATATGGCTATCCGCTATAGTGTGTACATGTATAACATTTGTAGTAATGCACTTTACGTTAACTCAAAATTGGTGTATGAAATTGAGTTACCTCCCATAAACATACATGTACATCCTATGCCGAGTTAGATAATAGCCAATTGTTATATTCTTCTTCAACTGATCATCATTCAGGGATTTTCAATGTTTATTTAATCAGTTGTGGGCTAAAATTAAACAATGCTAAAATACATATACATACCCATTGGTATCGACACTTTAACACACATTTATCACCTCCGTTTTCAATTTAACAGCATTACTCTTAATCTTAATGATAAATTGCAGAGAGTGCAATAAAGTAACATAGATTTTAAGATATACTTACAAGTGTTTTTATAATATTGCCCCTGCCTACTGTAACTGTCTGAACTCTGAACATATTACATAGATTTTAAGATATACTTACAAGTGTTCTTATAATATTGCCCCTGCCCACTGTAACTGTCTGACTTACTAAAAGTTTACATACCCTTAAGAAACCTTCGAAATTGATCTGCCAACTGTCTTTTTGAGCCAAAATCTGTATACCGGTCTTCATAATATGAAGAACAGTATTTTTCCACAAGTAAAAGCAGTCCCTGTGTTGAATCTTTCAAAGATACCCTTAAATCTCAATGTGTATGTTGTATAATACTATTATTAATAGCAAATAATAATCATACTCTTCTGTTATTCAAATTTTATTAATGTAAGGAAATATAATAATAATTTTACATGGTACATACAAAAAAGAAATTGGAAATAACAAATTTTGAAAGCTTAATTATATATTATTACTGAGATCTTTGATAAAATACATGTACATGTACAAATTAGTTAAAAATATTCATAAAATCAGAGGTATTTTTTTAGAGTTTATATTTTGGCGTTTTAATATTTCATATTGCTTGATACTCCAGACATCAGGATGAATCCACCATTATCTGTATTACTATTACACATAACAGTGTAATCGGTTGATTTTTTTAGTCCTCTGGAAACTTGGACAGTTTCTGAATTTGTCCAAAAAGTTTAGAAGGGTGATTGTACAAATGTTAGAACCGGAATTAATCAAATATTTGCCAAAACAATTTATTTGCACACAGTAAATGAATCTGACAAAAATTTAAATGAATTTTGACAATATAATCATATTACATGTACTAATAAACACATACTGAATACATACACATCATCACACTTCCACAAAAAACATAGCTAATGATCCAAATCCACCCATAAGTATCAGCATCACATGTAAGCAAAAAATAGAAATGTCATTCATAAGTTTAAGTTCAAAGGGTTGTCTGTCCAAAAATATTAAAAACAATGTCAGTTTGTATTGGAAGCGAAGAAAGATTTTTGTTAAAATATAACCAATTATAAACGCTGTTCCCACACTAGCAAAAAACATCATGGACAGTAATCCTGATGTGAAGTTAAGTATAGATCGCACATGATTATACACTAATGTCCTGTGATAATGGTTGTCCTCTAGGGTTCTTCCCTTGTGGGATGAAACTAAAATGTATGAATTTGCCGTCATTAGACACGATGTGTGAGGTCCTTGATACCTTCTGACCTTTAATGGAAGAGGAAACATGTTTCTGGTCAATTTCCTTATCTGGTCCTTAAAGCTAAAAGTGGGTCATCATCACATTAACTGCAAATATCGAAATCTGAGGTAGTGAGTACTGGTACTTGTAAAATATACTAATATTGACTCTCTCTTTTTAACACACAGTAATTGTTAAACATACAATTGCTAGTTTATTAAGAACTAATTGATATTTAACTGGGATGTGTCTTCTTGTACCACCAATGTGGGGTTGGTTCTTTCAATTCCAAATAATAATAACCTTTAGATACCTAGGATTCTGCACCATTTTTAATTGCTTTTACTTTACAATACTTTCCTTTTTACACTATAATTACAAAAGTAAAGTTTATCCAATTATATGCACATTATAATTAGGCCAAACAATGATGTTTGACTGATGACCGATGTTAAATTATGCACTTTATTATTGCTGCTTTTTTTTCTAATCCTTTACTGGGACGTATAATCCACGTTCTACTTTCCAGATACAGCTACACATTATTGAAACAACAAATGTATTTTCGAATATAAATGACCGTTATTTGTCGATTTTCAACGTCGTATCCTAATGACTTCGCGCATATCGGCCAAAAACAAAATATCAATCTTAAATGATTATTTACCAAAAACAACTATTTTTTTTCTGGAATTACTAAGGGAAGTGACTCCGTTTGCTTTGTTTCGAATAACCAGTCCAAAATAACTATATTTTTATTTTTATTGGACAAACAAGACTATCAATTACAGTTGTCGTAAATGTACATATTTCATGAAAACTCTTCATAATATGCCATGTGTTTTTTCTTATTTCACTAATAAAGTGTACTGGTTGCTTTTGTATTGTGTATTGAATATTAGATGACTTGATTTGTAGTTACAATCTCCCAAGCAGAGTTGTCGTAAGGTAAGAACGCTTAACGATATAAACGTTAGAATGGCTTCCATCGTTGACAAGAAAATCATGACAACCTTTGAAAATGCTGCAGAATTTGTTCGCCAAGTTGCTGGTCAATTAACACCTGAAAATTTACTTTTCCTTTATGCTAGGTTTAAACAGGTAACATAAGTAACTGTATGCAAATATTTTAATGGAGAAGTCAACTAACTCTTTGAGTCAGATAAGACTAGGCTAGTCAGTGTTGACTGTTGTGTTGGTTGTTGCAGAGCCTAGCCTAGGCCTAATCGTTATCCGTCCTTATGGTAGCACGACATTTCAATCCCGCGTCATTTGAGACTTAACACAGACTGATAGTTGTCTTTTGTTTTATTTAATTGATCGGCGATTGTTCAGACTGCTAATAAAAGATTAACGCACTTGTTCTATTGTGTTTGGTCTTAAGCAGGGCTTATGACATATGTCGACTTTGCAACCCAAAGCAACTAGTTGCAGTCAGTTGCAAGAGGACAACTGGGAGCAACTGAATTCGGAGCGCTTATGTCAACTCAGAACTGATAGCGATCACACTGACTGAACACATGACTGTTATTTTATTTGTCACGTGATCAACAAAATGGCGAATCACTTAGAAGAAGCAACCCAAAGGCATGGTCGGTCTTGCTACAATTCTATTAGTATATTATTGTCGACATCATCAAAACTTGAAAAAATGGGTGTCTTCGTTCGCTTCCATTTGCTTATTTATAAAGTCACATATGTCTCTTATCACGTGATGTTATTTCAATGGAAATGAGTTGACTCCAGTTGCAAGAACGCTCATGTCAACTGCAACTAGCTAGTTGCCGCTAGTAGCAGCCAGTTGCAGAAAGTTGAACATGTGCAACTGACTGCAGCTGACTGCCACTAGTTGCTTTGAGTTGTAAGAGGCGCTCAGGTCGACTTTTTCCAGTTGCATTCAGTTGCTCCCAGTTGCCAAAACGTCAGTTGCTTTCAGTTGCAAGGTCGACATAAGCCCCCCTTTTTCAAACAGTAAACGAACTTGATTGACCGATCGGTACGATATTGTTCTTATAATTGTGAAAGCCAAAATGTGTTTTACTTGAAACAAAATAAATGCAATCTTCACACAGACGCCATTATCGGAGATTAACAACTCATGTTTTTCCGCATCCTACAAAGAACCATAAGGGCAATTCCACACCAAAGTATACAATTAGGTGAAAAATTTAATTAGTTGATATGAGTTGACAAAAAGAGTGTTTTATTTTTATGGTGAGAAATAATCTATATTTTGAACAGAAACTTAAATTTGAGCAGAAATTTGCAGATTTTTTTTTATTTGGTCTTGTGTCTAGATTTACGTTGTAAATAAATGTTGAATTTATAATTTTATTGTATTTTCTTAATCTGTGTTTGTATGATTATTCTGAATCATAATTAATGATATGGCATTAGTTATCTGACAATGTCTATAAACATGATATTTATACATTAAAATATAAAATAATATATTTTTGTGAAGGTTACCAACATTGAAAAATATCACTCTTGAGAACGTAACATGCATGTGTCCGTTGCCAAATATTTACATTTTTTTTTCTCTCTCAATCATATTTATAATATGGAATTGTTTAAAACTTCATATCTAAAAGCTAGAATAACCCATTCTTATTATAATGACCATAAAAAGAAAAGATTTGCAAAAATTCTGTAAATAACTTGGGTTTTCATATGTGTAGGCTACGTCCGTTACTTTTCACAGTATTTCATGTTACCAGATATTTACATTTTATCTCTCTCATTCATATTTATTTATGGAACTATTCAAAAACTCATATTTAAAGCTAACATCACCCATTCTTGTTATTATGACCATAAAAAGAAAACATTTTCCAAAAGTCTCTGAAGCAATTGGAGTTTCATAGATATATATATTTATGTCCGTTACGAAAATTTGTGGCTAAAAATGTACGTCCCTTACCAAAATTTTAAGGTCACAATATTTAATTCAAATTGCCATTTCTAATGTTTTCCTAAAAGACTTTTCTTTGTACGCACTAATTTATTGATTGGTACTGCTATCTATGGCAAGCTTGTCGAGGAATGCATGTCAACGTGCAGTATACAGATTATTGTTAGAAGTTTCTAAGGACTTGTAAAAACATTGCACATGTGGTGTAGATATTTACTTTTGTTTTTGTATAGGTCATTTTGAAATAAATTCAACAGCGTAGTATTATATTTTAAAAAATATATATTATTTTTACGGTAAACGATGATAAAGAACTGTAAGTGCAACCAATGTTTTATAGTTTGGTGGAGCCTTTTAATAACCGTGTTTTTCATGTTAATATTTCGTGTCTTGAATTGGCCTTTGGCCTATTTGTAATAATTCATCAGGTACACTTTTTCCATAAATATAAATATATATAGAAATAAAACAGTCTTTTTATTTGGAAATTTTGCTGTTCCTTACGAGGTCTATGAACGACGCCACGACTGCACGTGCTGTAGTTGATGGTGAGCGGGAAATTTTTACCTTCATGTTATTTTTATAAAATCGTTTTTAGCTTACTATAAATTGATTTGACAGTTGTGTTCAACCTTTCCTTTCAACTTATTCCAGAGTCGGAAACAATCTGGTTAAAACACAGATCCTATTTCGTTTCGTTTTTATAGTTCAAAATTTCGTTTTACTTGTCTTTACTACACTTGGATCTGGAAGAGTTGTTATTTAACTCATGTTCTGAATGGTGTCAGGAATAAGCCAATGAAACTGTCTGTCACGGCGAGCTTTAGGCGTGTTTTGCACGGAACTGTGGGTAATCCACTAGTAACATCAATGCTGATTGGTTAATCAAATGTCTGACATCATAGGGTCGTAAGTCGGTCTTTTGACCCCTGACGTAGTGACGTGACCTATCGCTATAACTTGTCAGATCTTCATGTAGTGTAGGCCATCGAAAGTATAAAAAAAACGAAACGAAATATAGATCTGTATTTTAATCAGATTGGAGTCAGAAACATTACCTACCCAAATCCGAAATGTCACCTACCCGAGTCCGAAACGTCAAGGCCATATCTTTTTGAGTCCAAAATGACATGTAATCATCCTTACTTCATGTCAAGCTTAGAAAACAAGCAAAAATGGATAGGCCTAGCCTAGCACATATTTCTTTTTAATAAAGAGATAATCAAATTCAGGGGTTAGATCTACATGTACGGTCAGGGGTGGATTGGGGCCGGGAACCGGCCCGGGCTCCCGTGTCGGAGCGGCCCCTTTTACTGACTGCGGAGCCCGGACAGGGGGTACGGGGCTCTCCCCCTGGAAAATTTTGAAAAATAAACCCCAAATGTAAGGGTGTGACGATTAGTCGGTTTAGTCGAAGTCTGTTCGGTTTTACCTACAAACCGGTTCAAGTTTCGGGAAATCGATAGTCGACTAAAAAATACAGCATGATATAAACCAGTCGCCCGAATATTATAACATTTTTTTTTTAAAAAGATACATATATTAACGGTTGACAATTATAAGCTACATCATTGATAAATGGTCGACAATAATAATAACGAGACAGTATACTTTATTTACTATATTCCGTAATCGGTCGTGGATATTCTCGCGATTACAAGCGAGTGTGTTTTTGCATACCTAATGAAGTTATTTTAAGAATACGTTATTTGATTGGTCGGTCGCTAAGGCCAATGGTTGAAGTGCCCAATCAGAAACAAGCAATCCTCCAGGTTAGGTCAATAGGCATGCGCACTGATCTGATGCCCAGATACGCTTTCTCGTCGGTTTATCACTAATATTATTGATCAATACGTCATTGTTTGAAGTTTTTTATATGTTGTATTTATTACTTTTATTAAAAAGGTTAAACAGGAGATTTGAACAAACTACATAGTACAAACAAAACCAAATTTTTTAATGTACTGGACACATAAAACATAGAACTGTATGTATGTCGCCATTACAGTTTTAAGCTCCGTATATAAAGGCCAGTATATTAGCGTGTATTGTAGACTATGGAAGACTAATATTTTTCAGTTAGTTTTCATTACCGACTAAACCGAATCGGTTCGTTTTTTTAGCCGCCGACTAACCGGTTCAAGTTTTGCTTAGTCGTCACACCCTTACAAATATGCGATTTGGTGACATATCTGATTATAATCTCTGTCAAATAATATATCTCATAAATCGATAAATTTAGGCCAAAACTTCGACCTGCAAGTAATTTACAACCATCAACCTGTGAAGTTATCATATCGTCTTATTATGCAGGATTCCGAATTCCGGCCCACACCCAGCACACCCGGCCCAGAAAGTCTATTATACCAGCCCATTCCAGATTGCAGTGATGGCGTGGCGGCCCGTTAAAGCCAACGGCCACATACAACATGATCATCATCGCTCCATGGCTGGTCCAATACCCCCCTCCAACCCATATAATATTCAGCAGAAAAAGGTTTTTTAGAAGAATTGTACAAAATTTTTTTTTTCATTTTTTTACGACCGCCCCTGTGTACGGTAATAATAACTTGTCTTAAAAATCTTAAACTTTCACATACGGTAACGCAATGAGTCAGTAATGAGTACAGGATAAAAGGCTAAAAAAAAAAAACTCGGCGCTAAAGTCAAAATCATAAAATATTCACCTGTCTACTTCAGTACGACAGTAGGCTACTTGTCGCAGACGCATGATTTTTACATCTCACTACGAAAGCCCAGAAGGCTCGTTCCAAATTCCAAATGCCAAATTCCAAACTCATGTCTTATCAATAAAATAGCAAATTGGCAGCCCCCCTCAATTAAACAAATTAGAATTTAAATAAATTATAATTTTACACAACTAATTAGTGCTAGTTCACCTATCTGATGCCTGGGCCGGATAAACACCTGTTCCAAATTACTAGATTCAAAATTATAAATTCCATTGCATAATTGTATGACATCCCCATTCATATTATTTTAAAAACTGAAGTTAAGTACCCATTTTACAATTGCCAAAACTAAAACTTTAATAAAAGAAAAACAAAATGGATGAACTCTAACTACAGTCTAAGGATAGGGCATGTTCCTGAAGCAACCACTGTGAGTTTTACAACATCTTAACATTGCTAGATTGCTTTAAAACTCCCTAACTTACAGCTACGTGAACAGTAGCATCCAATCAGAGGTTGTGACGCAAACTTGCACAAATCAAATATAGCAACCTCCACGAAAACCGTGACATTGATCGAACCTTGAACTTTGCAACTTGATTATCACAGGTAGACATTTTAGCTGGAAAGCGCGAGACTTGGTATTCACGATGATCAAGGAGGTACTGATAGGCTCTCAAGCTGGGTGAATACCTAATCGAAATTAATGCAGGATAATTAATCCAGGACCAGGGTAATAGGTGAAGATCTTGATAAGATGTACAGAGTTAATAAAGCGAGATCAAGCCTTCTATTGAAGATAGGGTAGGGGTGCATTTGTCCCAAGTAAAAATCCAAATCAGTCAAGTGCAACTCGCAGCTATGGGTAAGGGCACCCTACTGGTGCAGTTATGCATTTACCCACTTAACAGAATTTTCATTAATTCATGCCCCTGAAACCATTAAATGTATCAGTTCAAAGTGTGTTTTACATTATTTTATTTTAATATTTTCAAATACTGAACAGAGTATTTAGCGATTGAATTTTGGGCCTAGCCTCGATGATCATTACTAAAGTCGGTACGATAAAAAACATAGCCTTGATTATCCATTTTTGATTTAATCAGAAGCAGCAGTAAATATCACAGGCTTGCGATGCCATCGAGAGTTGATTATGGTCTGAATAGTTAATTAATGTCTAATTAATAATTTAGATTTATAACATTTCAAGCTTAAAGAAAGACCTGCAATTGGCAGATTTAGCCCTTGCATAATGTATGTTTAAGCTTAAAGATACATTACATGTATGTAAGATTAGGATAAAGAACTGACAATAATAAACAAAGTCTTAATTATCCATTATTTAAAATTAGATTATTAACTTGCAATGGTGTTTAAATCTGTTGAAAATCAAAACCATCCGATAGTCGAAAGAGTTGATTATGGGCTTGGCATATAGTATTAATAAGCTTATAACATTTGAGGCTAAACGAAAGACCTGCATTAGCCAGATTTAGCTCTTACATAATGCATCTTTAAAAGATATATTTAAAATTAATCCGCGCCAAACGAAGTTAGGGACGGATATTGAAATTGGGGTACGTCCGTCCATCAGTTTTGATTTCATTTCCGAAGCATATCTCATAAACCGTTCAAGATATCTTTCTGAAACTTTGTACACACATCAACCTATTACAGTAGTTGTGTCTTTTGCTATTTATGAATTTCTGGGATTTATATTTTTTGTGTTTTCATGGAAACAAATTTGACTTAGTTTTTGGTGTATAATTTTGTTTCCGGAGCATATTTCTTAAACCGTTCAAGATATCTTTTTGAAATTTTGTACACACATCAACCCATTAAAGTAGTTGTTCCATTTGCCATTTAGAAATTTCTGGGATTTCTGTTTTTTATGTTTTCATGGAAATTTGACTCAGTTTTTGGTGTACAATTTGGTTTCCGAAGCATACATGTATCTCATAGACCATTAAAGATATCTTCATGAAATTTTGTACAATCATTAACCTAGTACAGTAGTTGTGTCTTTTGCTAGTTAGGAATTTCTGGGATTTATATTTTTTGTGTTTCCATCGAAACAAATTTGACATTTGTCAGATTTAATCATTTTTGTGTTGCCATGGAAACAAAATTCTCTGTTGAATGATTTTGAATTTTTACTACAGATTTTGAGTTGTTGGTATATAATTATTATTCTAGAGCATCAGAAACTGTTCAAGATACCTTTATAACACTTCTACATTCATCAACCTATTATTTTATTTTCTGATGACTGTCCTTCCGTCCCGATTTCATTTCCGGAGCATATTTCATTATCCGTTCAAGAAATCTTTTCGAAACTTTGTACAAACATCAAACTATTGTAGTATTTTATTTTCGGATGCAAATGTTTAACATACAGCAGCTAATTGAGGTAGGCAAAAGTTGTTGTGCAAACCTTACAGTGAGTAGCGACCATGCCTTGCCGAGCTACTGTGATCAGAGTATGAGTCTTCTGACTAGTCCCATTGATATTCCAAGAAGTTGTTTTCCCTTATGCCTTACAAACAAGTGCAAGGGTGACTAGTCATCTTGTTATATTTTAAAATTCATTTCGAAAATGGTTGTGAATGTGGTGTAAGTTATAGTAAGAATTAATTATGAATAAATGCTGCAAAAGCTGTATATTCATATGGTTTAATATATAGGAGCCATTCAAGAATTTAAGGATATTGCTATGGGATGTGATTGGTCTTGAAAAATTAAGAGTGACAGGTTAGCTGAAAAAGATGAAAAAGAAATGAAAGGCCTACCATTTCTATCTCTTCAATTCACTCAATGCTCAACCTCAAATGACAATTTCTAAAGTGATAATGTAACAGTACAAGTTTAAAATGTGGATATGGCAAAAAAGACGGAAGTTCGATGTCTGAATGACCAAAATAGCATTTCAATATTTTATTGGCTAAATATAAGCCCCTGGCTGTCTCAGGGTGACAGGACCATAGATTTCAAAATGTATTTTATCAAAAGATAACAGAGCATTAACAACTAAATAACATGCAAAACTAAGGATGATTACTTTTGTAAAGCAAAGTTTTCTTATTGTTAAGATTTTAGTCATTCAAGTTTGATGCCTGTTAGCATCTGTCTTCATTAGCCCAGCCCGTGAATTTCAGTGATCATATTCTTGTTCTTAAACTTTTATCCAGCAACCAGCGTCACATTTGGCTAGATAATGATTGGTTTAAAACAAGTCACCTTTATTATGGCTGAATGTTTAAGACCCCTACGTTCAAGCGAATTATTGAAATAAACTTGAACCACATGTTTGTCTGGAAGAAACCTAGTTTGTGTCGATTGGACGTTAAACCACATTTCTCTATTTCTCTCTCTCGCCCAATTCTTATTGTGCTATTTTTTTTTCAAATTCTATTTTACAGGCAAGAGAAGGAAAGTGCAACGTTCCAAAGCCCTATTTCTTTAATTTTGAAGGAAAACAGAAATGGTATGTCAGATGTCCACCTAATATAAATGTACCTATTCATTATATAAATTTCTCTTAAGCATAGACTCTTACAGAATATCAGGAACAAGTTACCTTTCATGTATAGCAAGAGACACTGAACAAGTTATTAAATCCCCAGTTAAAGACAAATAAAATGAAATTTTGAACTATACTATTCAAAAAAAGTAGGGGATATTTGATTTTGGGGGCATAATACTAAAATATGCAAATGACTACGAAAAAAGTCACTATAGAACCTAACAGAAGAAACATCAGTTTAATTGTTTTAGTGACCAGAAAACAAATTTTGATATGCGTCGGCTTACCCAAAATGAAAGGTTACGTGCCCTTGGCATGCTACAGATCGGCACAACACAGGCGGTTGTGGCGCGGACGATGAATGTTTCTCAGTCTGTCATAAGCAGGCTATGGTCCAGATACCGTGATACACAATCTGTACAGGACAGACCACGCTCAGGTCGACCAAGGGCGACAACTCAAGCCCAGGATCACAGCAAATCAGATCAGCGCTCGTCTTCAAACAGACACTGGTGTGAGAGTGAGTGGCCAGACGATTCGGAATCGACTGCATAGGGGTCACCTTCGCGCCCGACGTCCTCGCGTGATCCCTTGTTTGATAGATCATCACATTCAGGCAAGACGTCGTTGGTGTAGGGATCGTCAACACTGGGATAATCGACGCTGGAGCAATGTGATGTTTTCAGATGAGTCAAGGTTCACTGTTGATTTTTTGGACAGACCTAGGAGGGTGTGGCGTCGTCGAAACGAGCGCCTCCAAGACGTTAACGTCATCAGACATGATCGATTTGGGGGTGGTTCTGTTATGGTGTGGGGAGGCATCACTGTTGCTGGAAGAACGGCTTTACATGTTGTTGCAGGGCGTGTTACAGGCCAGTACTACCGGGACAACATCTTGGCAGTCCATGTTGTGCCGTTCGCACGACGTCATGGCCGCCGTTTCATCTTCCAGGATGACAACGCAAGATGTCACAGGGCCAGGATCGTTACAGGTTACCTCCAACAACAGAACATCACCACATTACCTTGGCCAGCACTGAGTCCCGACCTCTCCCCCATCGAGCATGTCTGGGACATGCTTGGACAGAGGTTACGTCAACGTCAACAACGTTCTGCCAATGTCCAAGAACTTGCTGCTGTGTTGCAACAGGAATGGGACAATCTGGACCAAAATGACCTTAGACGTCTCATTAGGAGTATGCCACGTCGGATCAATGCTTGTTTGGCAAACAGAGGAGGATTTACCCGTTACTGACTTGGTTGTGATGCTGTGGTAACTTTGCTGTTTGACCCCGGGTATCATTTTACCCTTATAATGGTCAGTCTGTGCCTTACTTAGTCTAACGATCATTTGGAATAAATCGATGAATGTGAACTTCATTTCATTTTGTCATTTGTTTCTTCGTCAGTTTCATTAGGTGACTTTAATAACACTTAAAAATCAAATATCCCCTACTTTTTTTGAATAGTATATAAAAAATAAAATGAAATAGGATCTGTGTTTTAATCAATTTCAAGTTATCATCTTATCTGTATGAAATTTATATTCATTATTCCAGTAAGTAAACCGAAGAAGCCGATTTAATTTCAACCATTCCCAGTTATTACTTCTAGAGTTATAGCCCTTGTTTCACTTTGTAGAACCTTGTGAATGCTCGAACAACAAAAGTTATCAAAAACGGAGAAGCCTATTGAATTTCAACAATTTCCTTTAATTTTCTCTTGAGTTATGGCCATTGTTTCACTTTGTAGAACCTTGTGAATGCCCGAATGGCAAAAGTATGAAATTTATATGCATTATTTAAATAAGTAAAATGAAGAAGCCTATGAAATTTCAACAATTTCTGTTTATAACTTCTAGAGTTATGACCTTTGTTTCAGTTATGACCTTTGTTTCACTAACGATCAAACAACAATATTATCACCAGATTTTTATTAGATTGATATCAGTGTCTTGTAGATACTCCCATTACCCACAGAAAAATAAATATGAGACAACCCTTTTCGAATGCTCTGAGGATTTACCTGCTGTGGGCATATATGTTTTATTGCCTGGCAACCTATCATTATTATGGTTTGAAACCGACTTTTTATATGCCCACATTAAAATGTGGTCATATATTGTCGTCACTGCCGGCCGGCAGTCACAATTGTTTGTGGGAGCTCTGGAGGCTACAGTTAATATCCGATTGACTTTAAATGTATACACAGTGTTTAAGGTCATGAGATGAAGAAGTATACATATTGATTTTCAAGAATTTCCAATTACTACTTCCAGAGTTATCTAGGCCCTTAATCACTTTGAAATATCTTGTGGATGCTCCTCTAGGAGCGAAAGTTAATATCTGATTGACTTCATATACACAGTGTTTAAGGTCATGAGAAAAGAATCCTATTGATTTTCAACAATTTCCAATTACTACTTCCAGAGTTATGGCCCTTAATCACTTTAAAAAAAATCTTGTGGACGCTCTTAGAGGCTAAAGTTAATATTGGATTGACCTTATATATACACACTGTTTAAGGTAATGAGATGAAGAAGTCTTTTGATTTTCAATGATTTCAAATTAATACTGTCAGAGTTATGGCCCTTGTGCCTTGATCACTTTAAAAAATCTTGTAGATGCTTTAGAGGCTAAAGTTAATCTCTAGAGACCAAAGTTATCATCGGATTGATAATAAATTATATACATAGTGTTTACGGTCATAAGACGACACCTTTATATTTACAAGGATTTCCGATAATTACTGCCAGAGTAATGGCCCTTGATTACTTAGAAAATATCTTGCGGATGCTCTACAGGCCAAAGTGATCATTTTATTGACTTAAGATTAATACACAGAGTTTAAGGTATTGAGATGAACAAGTATATTGATTTTCAATGATTTTTGATAACTTGAAGTTGAACAGCTAATTAAATGTTTTGTTTTGTATACTAAGCGTTAGCATGGGGCAGAACTAGATACCAAACAAATTCTAATGATTTTCTGATAATTACTTAATGAATTTAATCTTTGAGTTGTTACTCTTAATCAGATTTTAGTGTATTATAAATAGACCGGAGGCTCAGCGCGGGGGGGTGTCCATCAAATGGGCACAAAACCATACCCAACTTTTCTAGAGTAAAATTTTGCGTAGAATACGATGCCGAGTGGTAATCAGTCCTCCGTTGGGGCGTTTTCGAGATATTCGGGGTCAAAGGTCAATTGAGTTCATTTGCACTGAAAGTGAATGTGCAGTCATTCTTGTATCATGAAAAGAGGGTAAAAATGATCGAAAGTAATCACACTTTCAATAAAAATGTAAACTTGCTAAATTCACCTTTAGTCTTAGTGACCCTGGAGGTCAAAAGGTGAAATTTACCGTTTTTGCACTAGGAAGATTTAAAGCAATAAAATGGCAACTTAAAATATAAAAATTAAAGCGAAACCTGTTCTAATTGATAATAGGAACATTTCAAATTTATCTTTAGGTGGTCTTAGCACCAAACTTTTACTTTGAAATGTCGAAAATGATCTTGCATAACAGAACCAACACATTTGGAAACCTGTTTCAAAAATACGTAAAAGCTGTCAAATCGAAATCTCTCCGATTTATTTTCACAACGATTTTTATACATAATGATACTAGTTATCTGAAAAAGAATTGAATAGTTTCAGTGTTAGACTCCAGCCTGCAGGTCGCATGGATTTCCGAGAATCCCAGTCTAGGAAAACCAACGTTAATCTGTGACGGGAAAACACGCCTCTGGCGACGAGATTAAAAGTTTGCAAAGTTTTTATGAGTTTTTATGAATTTCGCCGGAACATGGACGCAGATAAAACCGACGAATGCATTGTACATAGTAGTTCACAGGATATATATGTCGTATTGGTAAATGTTAGCGGGGAAAATTTTGGCAGGCTTTGTGACGCAGCCTGCAGGCTGGAGTACAGCCATGGAATTAAAATTTTTTTTTTTTCAGACAACTAGTATCATTATGTATAGCATTCGTTGTAAAACTAATTCGGTGAGATTTTGATTTAACAGTTTTTACGTAGTTTTGAAACAGGCTCTGAAGCGTTTTGGTTCTGTTATGCAAGATCATTTTCGACGTTCCAAAGTAAAAGTTTGGTGCTAAGACCACCTAAAGATAAATTTTAAATGTTCCTATTATTAATTAGAACAGGTTTCGCTTTAGTTGTTATATTTTACGCCGACATTTATTACTTTAAATCTTCCTAGTGCTAAAATGGAAAATGTGCCTTTTTGACTTCTGGGGTCACAAAGAACAAAGTTGAATTTAGCAAGTTTACATTTTTATTGAAAGTGTGATTACTTTCGATAATTTTCAGCTTATTTTCATGATACAAGAATTATCGCGCATTCACTTTCAGTGCAAATGAACCCATTTGACCTTTGACCCCGAATATCTCGAAAACGCCCCAACGGCGGACTGATTACCACTCGGCATCGTATTCTAGAAAAGTTGGGTCTGGTTTTGTGCCCATTTTGCGGACCCCCTCCCCCGCTGAGCCTCCAGACTAAAATGTTTCATTACCAACAAATGGAAAGAAATATGCGACAACTTTTGTTGACTTTTCTGGCAACCTATCTTTTTTTTTTCAGGGAAGCATGGACAAGTTTAGGAAATATGACAAAAGAAGATGCTATGAATGACTATGTAGATTATCTCTCAGAGCTGTTTCCTAACTGGGAGGAGGAGGTACATGTATTTTAATTTTATTTTTAATAAAACCCAGCCATACATACCCCATGTTCCTGAAGCAACGACTACGAGTTTTGCATCATCTAGACGTTACAAGGCTAATGTGCAATTCCCGAACTTATAGCTACGTTATCTCCCTTTACCGCAGACACATGTGACGTAAACACACTCAAATCAAACATGGCGACCCATGCTAATTTCCAAACGTCCTAAATTATCTGACAAGGAATATGCCAAATCGGACATCAGGAGATAGTGAATAATATTCAGAATTCCAAAATTAATAATATAGTGTTTTGAATGTATATCTACCACCCAACCCGATTATCGATGATGGCTAATTGTTTACATCACGTGATAGCTGGCACATGACAGATATTAACCGAACACAAATTGGCGACCTATTCGGCTAGCGACCTATTCGACCGATCCAGCTGGCAACCTGTTCGTTGGCAACCTATTCAGAATGAGAGCGCACCCCTTTAATATGATTGTGCCAACTTTTACTAATAATATTTCGAAAGCTTATTTAATCAGCTTTCGGAATATATTTAGTTGGATGTCCAGAATTTTGTAAGATAATGCGAAATTACATCTCTATTCTGAGCTAAAGGAATGGATAAATGATAATATATTCTACTTTCATTTGATAGACGTTACATTGGAATTTATTGGTTGATAAAAATAGATGAGTTTGGGCGACTGTTGAATTTATTCTGAATAGGTTGCCAGCTGGATCGGTCGAATAGGTCGCTAGCCGAATAGGTCGCCAATTTGTGTTCGGTTAATATCTGTCACGTGCCAGCTATCACGTGATGTAAACAATTAGCCATGTGGCTTAAATTGTGTCACAGTGTCCAGTTTAGAAACTTAATTTACACAAACGCGTTGTATATTATACCTTCAAAACACCGTAAGTTCTTGTTCTTAATATCCTAATAAAGATTACCTTTCATCAGATTTTCTGCCAAACGGCGAAACGATCACAAAATACAGCGCTAAACTTACTCCAAATTTGTAAGTTTACTATAGTGACCAGTGAGCGTGTCGAACCAACTACGTCACTTCCGGTATTAATAAAAATTAATTTCTCGCTTACAAATTATTTTCTGCATATGTTATAGGAGGGATTATTTCTAAATATATATTTATTATTTATGGAAACCTTATTGAAAATCGTTGGTCTTCCCCTGTAAGACACAATAAACATTTTACCATTGGTGCACGAATCGTGTACCATAATGCGTTTTGGCGCCATTTGTAACAAGGGACACGAAAGGGCGAGGCTAGACATATTCCACAAGTCATGCCATATTCTTATCTGGAGAGCAATAGACTGGTATAACCAGGTGCTAGAGTTTGCCATTCGAGTGAGACTTCTGGCGTATTTCATCGAACATAACTGATTTGAAATTAGAGTCAAAATGGAAAAGATTGGATGTAAAATCAGTTTATATACCTCCAGATTACATTATTATATGCGTTGCGACCCATTTGTGTCAATTTCTACTCTAGGTCCCAAATATTAACAATTTAGCCCCTTTAATCTCCGTGATTAAATCAGGGTTTCTGCATTGTCAGACATTTTAATCTCCTTGATGTCAGTGGACAACATGTAGAAACTAGTCATATATGTCACATATCCTATCATATCTGTTATAATACAATAACCGAAAACTAAAGTAGAAAGCTCGCGAGACGAGTGAAATTATGAGAGGTGTCACATGACAATTATCACATGGAAAATGGCAGAGAAAAGGTTCTATTTTGATGCATATTCTCGGGTTTATGATATATGAATGGGCTTTATGTTTTAAAAAAAAAGAAAAAAAAGAAGCAGAGAAATGTTGACAAATATTTCGATTGGAATCGTGTAAGTAATTGTTTTACATGATAACTCGTGTGATCAGAGTCGAGCACTATTATTTAGCAGATGATCTCACTCGCTCTGTATCATGTAGTGACGGTTACTGTCCCCCCCCCAATTTTTTTACCTCCATCCATATATAAGTCGAAACGGAGTACAAGACGAATGCTGGACTTCTGAAAAAAGTGTCGACTTAGACCCCCCGAAAAATATGGTAATTATGGAGGAATATTACTGCTGAGAATTTGATAAAAGGTATGGGTCAGCAGTAGTCGGCACACTTTACAGGTCACAATTTTTATCCGGTTCCTTTCGATATTGGCATGTATCGGACCATAACTTCATGAATTATGGCCCCTGATAGTACGAAAAATCATGGTTTATCTTGTGGACACTCGCTCCTGAGGTCACAATTTTCATCTGATTTTGGTGAAACTTGAAATGCATGAACATTTATAACTCAAAGATCTTGGGGGGTTGGATGGCCGAATGGTTAGCATGTGCGTGCTGTATCATACGGCCTGTTATTGAATCAACTGGCGTGGTTTCGAATCCCCGGTTGTATGTGACAAGGAGTTGGGTCGCCTGTCCAATCTCGTGGGTTTTCTCCGGGTCCTCCGGTTTCCTCCCACTGCTAAAGACCCCTACGCGCAAGCGAATTATTGAAATAAAATTAAACCATATGTTAGTCCCGAAATGACCTAGTTTGTGTCGAGTGGACGTTAAACCCCATTTCTCTCTCTCTCTCTCAAAGATCTTGGTTCCTTTCGATATTCACGTATATCGGACCTTAACTACATGAATTATGGCCCCTGACTGTACAAAAAATTGGATTTTGAACTTGTGGTCCCTCTAGGGGTCACAATTATTATTCGATTTAAAAAAAACGTTCAAATATATCACCATTGCACTGTAATGCTGGCTGAGTTCGAATTTCGTGAAAATCGGACCAAAACTGCCGGATAAAATGGCTGCCACTCGTACGCAGATCGTGTAAACATATATGGTATATCAAGGTTGTGGACCCTCTAGAGGTCACAATTTTTATTCGATTTTGATTAAACTTGAAATGCATGTTTATAACGCAAAGATCCTGGTTTCTTTCGATATTTTCGCATATCAGATTGTAATTTCCTGAATTATGGCCCTTGATTGTATGAAAAATCAAGTTCTAGAGGTCACAATTTTTATTCGATTTAAAAAAACATGTGAAAATATCACTGTTACACCCTGATGATTGTGAAAATCAGACCAAAACTGCCATACAAAATGGCCGCCCCTCGTACGCAAATAGTGTAAAAATATGGTATATCAAGGTTGTGGACCCTCTAAAGGCCACAATTTTTATCCGATTTTGATGAAACTTAAAATATATCTTAACACCTGAAAGGTCTCAGTTCCTTTCGATAATCCTGCATATCCAAACGTAACTTCCTGGATTATGGCACCAATTGTTTGAAAAATCGCATTTTTTGCATGTGGACCCGCTAGAAGTCACAATTTGTATTCACTTTTAAAAAACATTTAGATAATCACTGTTACACATCAATGAAGGTTGAGTTCGAATTTCATAAAAATCTGACTGAAACTGCTGGACAAAATGGCTGTGGACACTCTTACAAGTCACAATTTTTATCCGATTTTGTTGAAACTTGAAATGTATGTTTATAATCCAAAGATCGTGGTTCCTTTTGATATTTGTGCATATCGGACTGTAGTAACTTCCTGGAAGATGGCTCCTGATTGTACGAAAAATCACATTTTTAGCTTGTGGACCCTCTAGAGGTCACAATTTTTATCTAATTTTAAAAAACGTTTATATTTATCACAGTTACACCCTAATGACGGTTGAGTTCCGATTTTGTGAAAATCAGACCAAAACTGCCTCACAAAATGGCCATCCCTTGTACGCTAATAGTGTAAAAATATGGTATATCAATGTTGTGGACTCTATAGAGGTCACAGTTTTTATCCCATTTTTTATGAAACTTGAAATGCATGTTTAAAACCCAAAGATCTTGGTTCCTTTCCATATTCGCGCATATCGGATTGTAACTTCCTGAATTATGGCCCCTGATTGTACGAAAAATCGCGTTTTTAGTTTGTGGTTCCTCAAGAGGTCACAATTATTATCTGATTTAAAAAAATGTTCGAATAGTGTAAACATCTGGTATATCAAGGTTGTGGACCTTCTAGAGGTCACAATTGTCATTTGATTTTGATGAAACTTGATAATGATATGCATGTTTATAACCAAAAGATCTTGGTTGCTTCCGATATTCGCGCATATCAGATCGTAACTTCCTGAATTATGTCCCCTGATTGTACGAAAAATCTCGTTTTTAGCTTATGGTCCCTCAAGAGGTCACAATTATTATCTGATTTAAAAAAATGTTCGAATATGTCACCGTTTTACCGTATTGTTGGTTAAGTTCGAATTTCATGAAAATCGGACCAAAACTGCCAGACAAAATGGCCGCCCCTCTACGCAAATAGTGTAAACATCTGGTTATACGCCCACATTGAAATGCGGTCGTATATTGTTGTCGCCCCCATCTGTCCGGCGGTCCGGCATCCACAATTGCTTGTGGACGCTCTATAGGCTAAAGTTAATATCCGATTGACTTTAAATTTATACACATTTTTTAAGGTCATGAGATGAAGAAGCCTATTGATTTTCAGTTATTTTCGATAAGTATATTAATTTTCAATGAATCTTTATGACTTGAACAGCTAAATCCATGATTTTAAAAGTTTTGTATCCTAAACGTAAGCATGGGGCAGAACTTTATAAAAACCAAACAAATTCTAATGGTTTTCTGATAATTACTTAATGAGTTGTTTCTCTTAATCAGATTTTAATGTATTATAAATGTTTCATTACCGAAAAAAGTAAAAAGATATGACAACTCTTGTTGACTGCCCGGACGATATAGCTGCTGTGGACGTATGTTTCGTTGCCTGGCAACCTATCTTTGTTTAGCTTGTTCTCTATCCATCTCTTGAAAAATGTGAGCGTATCCTGCCTGGCAGCCGCTGGTTTACAAATTCTGTGAAGTGCTATTTATAGAATACGCTGTTTATTACTATTAGGATTTCAATTATCAAGTTTAATGTCGGGGACAAAATGGATATTGTTATTGACAACGGATCCATTTGTCAATGGAAAGATCAACATTTAAAAGTCCCTGAGTGTGTTTTGAGTGATATCGGAATTCCTTGCAAACTACAAAAACTTATTAGTAAAGTTGAATTTCTTATAGGAATATGAGGCCAAAACATGATGTCTCCATTATCCAGTAATAAGATTATATTCTGATGTTATTAATGTATTTTGATCTATTTTAGCTGGATGATAATAATGAAGTAAAAGATGGTAATGCTGGTTTAGGTATATCTGTCAGTAGAATGGTGTCAGAAGATGATGTTATTCCAGATTGTGATAAAACTGTTTTTGATTGGTGTAAAGAAGGCAATGTTAAAAATGTAGAAAGATGTCTGACTGAGAAAAAAAATTATGATATAAATAAATTAGACGAAGAGGTAATGTAACAATTCCATCATTTTAAAGAACAAATTTAGATTATTATTGTTTTCAATCCATAGTCATTCTGTATTCAAAGCCTAGCTTCTGAAAAACACTGTGTATTAAACTTAACAATGTGTGTACAATTTTGATATGCGAATAATTTTTGTTTACAAAATTGTCGAAAATGTCACACTAAAAAAAAACATGCCAATAGACCAGTGAAAGAGAACCGATAATTATTTCCCTTTACAGGAGGATAAACACAGAGTTCCTTATGGCTTTTTTTAGGGAGAAAGAATTTCAGTTGTTTTCATAGATTATGCACGAGTTAGGAAATGTTTTGGAAACATTAAACCGTACTTCAATCGCCAAAATTTTAGCCATTTGTTTTTAAATCACCATATAGACAACGTTTTTCTTTGTTGGCGAACAGGAGATCGGATGGCCGAATGGTTAGCACGTGCGCGCTGTATCATAAGGTCTGTCATTGAGTCAACTGGCATGGTTTCGATTCCCCGGTTATACGTTACAAGGAGTAGGGTCCCCTGTCCAACCTCGTGGGTTTTCTCAGGGTCCTCCGGTTTCCTCCCATTGCTAAAGACCCTATGCACAAGCAAATTATTTAAATAAAATTGAACCATATGTTAGTCCCGAAATGACCTAGTTTGTGTCAAGTGGGTATTAAAACCCATTTCTCTCTCTCTTGTTGGCGAACCGCCACAGCTTTCCTTACTTTAGTTATCTCCCTTGGTATAAATAAACCCTTACACAAAACACAACAGTTCAAAGAGACCTAATTTTACTTGAAATACTCTTGAAACAGAATTAGTTTTAAAAGTGAACGGGGGGGGGGGAATCAAGAAATCAGCCCACTCAGCATTAGAAAATCAATTATTACCCCTAGTTAGGTCGACAAGTAGTTAGTAAATATAGTGTTATGTAATTCTTAAATGACTCAGTTGAATATTGATTTGTACTGTAGGCCTCATTTTGGTTTGACTGAATGTGTAAGAGACTCCAGCCAACCGGTCCATTTTCACGAAAAAAATACATACCACTCGACAAAACAATCGGCCCATTTGCCTGTTTGGACTAAGCTCAGGAGTGGTGCCGCCCTGCCCCCCCCCCCCCAAAAAACGTTGGGTGTCCCTGGCTATCATATTGATAATTAGAGAAGAACTTATTGATAATTTTAAGATTAAAATTGAATACATTGGACTATTTCAAACCTCTTATCTATTTTACTGTTATGAAAGCAAGTAGCACCATGCATGTAATTATAATTCCAGGGTATGACGTTATTACACTGGGCTAGTGATAGAGGTTTAGCTGATATGGTTTCATTATTATTATCACATAAAGCTGATCAAAATAAAAAGGTGAGAACATACAGAGCCAATGTTACATAGCTATAAAAAATTGTACATTTCTGATAATCAGGATTAGGGCTTACAATGATTTTTGAAAGATGTTTACCAGGGTTCCCACTTCAAATTTTTGATAACCAACTGAAACTTATTTTTCATGGGTTCATCTGTCACATGATAACTCTGCTGCTAATGGAGATGGAATGTTGTAGTAGGTGACTGTCAGTCATTGGTCTGCTTTGGGACACAATAACTTTGATTGTGATTAAAAGTGATAGTAGAGTGATTTTATTGGTCAAGGCTTTGGAACACAATAACTTTGATTTGAATTTTAATTCAGTGAAAGTAGTAAAACTTGGTCACCTGGCCACTTAAAGTCTCTGTACAGAATTTGAATTTTTCGGAAAATACAAATTTTGCCACAGATTAATCAGTGCCACAACATACTCAGATTGTTTATTTAAAACATTTGGATTCAGTCAGTTTAAAATGAGGCTGAAGAGATTTTAATGAAAATTACAGTGTAGAGAATGCCGAATGTCAACAAATTTTCAATTCTTTACATCTTTGTAATTACTGAGCGAAAATCAATCATTTTTGAAATAATTTTCTATTTAGAGATTCAACTTTTACAATATTCTAAGTTACAATGGATTCCTCAATCCCTTTCCTCAAAAGGTGTTCAGAGACTTTAACTGTACAACAATGCACAAAATGTCTGAATCTCTGATGGTAGATTGAGAGAATCTTGTGAATGTCATCTGAAATTTCACTAATCTATTCAGCCAGGTTATTATGTAATTGAGCCACATATATAATTATAATATATATAGAACTTAACCCTTTCAATGCTAGACGTAAATCCACTGCCTGTGCTAGACCCTTTTTTGAGGAAAAAAGGGAGGTTGGGACTGAATGCCAAGCAGTACTTATGGAAGCTTTTATGAAAAATCTTTTTGTCTGTTGGGATGGGCATGAGGTTGGGCTAAGAGGAAAAAATAGAATTTTGGAAATTTGCATGATTATGTAGTCACGTGACGTCATGGCGGCCATTTTGGATTTCTCATTTCTCACTAAAGCTAACACGAAAACGAATTTTTCTCCATGAAATACTTAAAAGATATTGTTTTTTTCACTGGATTTTGATAAAGATATATAAAATGAATAAAAATATCAATAGCAACCATGAGCAATGCCGCCGCGAACACGCGCATCACGTCTCCCGCTGCCATGACCACGTGCGGATTGCAATACCTTGTTTTTACTTTCACTTTCACTTTCATCCCCAAGTCCCATATCATTATCAATATAGTCAGTCAATAGATCTACACGTTCGGGAATCAGGAATTACCTACGTCTTTTACGATCCACCAGGCAGGCATTATTATCAACATCAGAATTATTGTCAGAATCTACTGCAGACACAGGGCTATCGTGTTCACATTGGGCTTGTTCATCATGCACGGGAGACATAGCTAGCCATGGGCGGAACGTCGCGCAACAAATCACACACTTCATAATACCAATCACTGTCCTGACTACTATCATTATCAAGTAACTGGAAACGAATTATGTGTATCACCCGCCTCGAAATTGTCCACGTGTTGGTCAGCAAGACGTCATTCACGACTTCGTCGAGAGTGCATCGTCTACGTTGTCACTATGCACTCCGCCATTTTACGGTTTGCCGCTTTGAAACACGTGAAATATGTTCTAGTGTATAGAAAATACAATAGATGGCACTTGCAGTTACGGTACTAATTTTAGCGAGGGCTTTACTGAGTACACGGTAATACCGGGTACGGGCATTTTACCGACATTTTATAATACCCGGTACTACCGGGTATACGCAGTGAAAGGGTTAATGCCCCTGAAAAAAGTATGTATAAATATTAGTGTGGTGTGTCGTTTATTTTATTATTCATTAGATTTTAGATGTAGACTTGATTAAATCTGTTGAGTAATTTTGTTACAATTCTTCATTGTATCTTTTCTTTCCTTTTCAGGATTCAGATGGACAAACTCCGTTACATTTTGGTAAATATTATGGCTTTTCTTTAAACTCTTAATATTTTAATAATGGGTCAGACGGTTCTGAGACTGAATTTGTAAAAAAAAAAAACATCATAAAAAAATTACATGTATGTGCATTCCTGTCAGGCAGAGAATCTGGGTGACATGCTGCTCACCAACCAGGCGGTCACAGGTTACATTCCAGTTTTGGCCAAAAAGAGTTTCTCAGGCTGGATTGCCCTTATCAATGGTGCAGGACAGAGAGCCTGGCCAAGAACAGCACTAAGAGGCGTTTACACAATACAACCAATTCATACAACCGTTGAATGCAACATATCACAAGGGTGTTTACCCGATATAATCGTTCTAAAATTAGCAGGAATTCAGATATCTAAGTCAGATATGACGTCATACACCGAAAGACGGTGTCTGATATAAATAGAACTGATTCTATTTATGGTGTATGGATTGGTTGTATCATGTAAACAGCGCTGAAGCTTCTAGTCATTCAGATGGATTGGAAAACTAAGGCCCTGTGTACATGTTAGTGTACACATAAAATAAAACTTATCAGTTGGAATACAACAAAGAGTATGTTAAAATGTCGCTGACTAGGCAAAAACTCCATCATAGCACACCACATGGCGTATGGTCATCTTCATTACGCTGGATGCAGGTTGGTGCTTAAAAGTAAGACGTTAAACCCTATTCATTTCATTTTATATTCTACATGTAGTAAGCTTACATTGTTTAGTCACAGTTCATTATATAACTTTATGTGTATTAAAATTACAGGATGGAGTTCTGTAACGTAAATAGGACATTCATGTAAAAGAGCTGTAGGTAACATGATGTCTGCATGTCAACCTTTAGAAAAAAGAAATTGTCTATTATAAATATTTTATTTTCAGCTGTAGAGTGCCAACATTTTAATGTTGTAAAAGTGTTACTGGACAATCAGGCTAATCCTATGATAAAAGATTCTGATGGTATTTCTCCACTTGATATAGACACAACATCCAGTATTAAAAAACTACTAGATACATACAGTATCACTATTTACAAAGATATATTTCTGTAAAAACATTTTTAATTGTTAATGGTTTCACTTTTTCCTATATAACCTTTATTAGTCAACTCACGAAGTATTGTGTTAAAATCATACATATATAATTTGATTATATGGCCTTTTTTTTATTTTTAAAGAAAACAGCCATTCTTATTACCTAATTTGGTAAAATCATTTTCGCATTTTGGAAGCAAGCTCTGGACTTACAGGTGTTCTAAACCAAAACATGTAGTCATTTCGTTAAGAAATAAGGGAGAGTCACTCTAGTCTTAATTTTATTTAAACAATAATAGCAATATCTCAACCATAAAGTCATTTTAGGTCTCAATTAAATGTCCAAAAGATTGAAGCCAAATAAAAATTTTAAAACTTTCCACCAATGATAGATTTAACCATTCAAGCAAGATGAATCTGTGTCCATATTTTATTGGTAGGCTACTTAATTTTTAGTTTTACAACTTTGAAGTTTTCTTCTTCGCATTCACATTTGTATTTAGTCAGTTATAATGTGTTTATTAATTTATGTACTAAAACCCTCAAGTTTGCACCCCTTAATATTTGCTGAAATGATATGTTAAAGTTATTTTTGAAAAATGCGCTAACTGTAATATTTATATTGCTATTGCTGTTTGTTTAAAGATGTTTTATTTTGATGGTAAAATCTCTTATTTTGTAGCTATCATTTGTGAAGCTACTTGTATATTCTCAGAATAGTAATGAGGAAGGCACCAAGGGTCATATGGGCCCTTACTCTAGTCATACTTTCCAAATTTGAAGTTTTCAATTTTAGTTCATGGTATTTATTGTCATTTGACTTTCAATATTTCCATAAGAAAGCACATTAGCTAAAGTAAGAGCACTATATAAAACTCTTAGTTTTGCATTTAACTGACTATTTTCTTTAAATAGCAGTCTTCAAAATTGTAAACACGACTTATTTATTGGTCAATTTAAATCAAGCTTAGTGTTGTTATCTTTCCATGAAACGTTGGGCTTCTGATATCTAATATTTAAGACAAACTGAACATTTTAAAATTGGCACACGAATCGCATTCCAGAATTTTTTTGAGTGCCATTTGTATGAAGCGAATCTATGAACGAGGCTAAACATATCCAATGTAGAAGAATACTACCTGTGTAGACTGGAATAACCAGATTCCAAAGACTGCCATTCAATTTGGACTCCGCATTTTTCGCCAAACATAACTGATTAGAAATTACAGTAAAAACAGAAACGATTGAATGTAAAATCAGTTTATGTACATTCATAATACATTAATGTATGTGTTGAAACCCATTTGTGTCCATTTCTATGTGCCAAAGAATAGCAATTTAGCTCCTTTAAGGAATATTAGTTATCATAAAGAGACATTTGAAGGAATCGCTTTATGATTGGATGTTCCAGCTCCATTGCTTATGTTGGATAGAAAATTAGCAATTTTTCCCCCATTTTCAGCCATCAAACATTGGCTAATATTTAATGCTTTGTAATATTTTTAAGTTATTTTTCTTTGATACCATTTCCATGTACGTTTTCATAAACATATGTTAAAAAATTATCATTTGGTATGTTTTGACGTTTTGGTAAAATACTCAAAATTTTTCAGACTGTTTACTGATTAAAACTTTGAATTTAATTTAGTTGGCATGTCCATGAATGAACTGATTGATTTATTTCATTGTACAAAAAGATATTATGTGTTACTTTGCTGCTTTTTCATCAAGATTTGCTCTAAAACCTAAAAGCAATTATATTTTTCCAATTTCACAACAGATTGAAATCAAATTAACACGGTCTGTCTTTTTCTGATTACTAAAGATACATTATGGGAGATAAGATAACGAGATGGCAGTTCTCGCTATAATAGTTAAAAACTAGATAGTGTAAAGGTAATTTGCTAAATATTTCAGTCAAATTGATCCACTATGAGCCGAGAAAGAAGCGGGTGAAACTTTTGCATAGTCTCGGTCATCATTACTAAAATCATTAATATAAACAGCATAGTCTCGATTATCCACTTTTTCTGATTTAATTATCAATGACCGTTAGCGGCATATAGGAATCTAATCCAGCCAACATCGAAGGCTAGCCTTGACATCGAGAGTTTATTATGGTCTGGATAAGTTAATTAATGTCTAATTGATAATTTAGATAACATTTCAGGCCTAAAGAAAGACTTGTAATAAGCAGATTTTGCTCTTGCATAATGCATGTTAAGTAAATAGTTAGTGTATGTATGTATTACAGTTTCATTTCATATGTACCCAGAAAAGTATGTTTGAAGTCAACTTGTCTCTCAGATAAATTAATGGGCAGATAACTCTTCCTATCTTATCTATCAGACCATTTGTTGCTTTGATATCTACTTGCTAGGTTTTTTCAGCATAGATGTTTAATGAAGTGAATTATTACAATATGGTAAGCAGGCGTAGTGAACTGTGATCGCATCTACATGAACGAAATAACATGCACATCAATCTCCAGATTGCACGTACACACATCTTAACAATGACAGATCAGTCGATTTTAGTGTAGATATATGAAAAAAAAAAACGTTCCATCAATCCCAAGTTTCACTGTGGTCCGATTCCATCCATCTAACATCTGCACATCATTCGCATATTTCATTATCGGTTAGTCGATAACGAGACATGGAGTCAAATGACAAATTATCCAATTGTTCGTTAAAATGGTTGTAAAGGAAATGTTATATCTGTTTTTGCAGACATATAACAATAATACAATACCAGTGATATGTTATTATAAATAATTTATGGTTCAGATCGCATTCACAGACTCGAGGTTATTGGTTTCGCACGACTTGCTTTCTGTGTGGTAATCGCTGATACCAAATGTAACAGCCCTGTTGCGATTTTTCTCAGGAACCAGTCATAGATAGGTTGTTCTGTGATGTGGAAGAATTTGTGAGGGTATTTATTATGTTAACTAGTACTAGCACACTAGAAATCTGACCTCATACTCGTATACAGTTGTTTTCTTACCATACATCACAGAATAAATCTATTCTGTTTTAAAAATCCCATAAAATTGAAAACTTTAGGTCAAATGCACAAATTTTTCTCTAATATTTTCTGATGATTTTGAAAATGTCTTGCCGAAAATGGAAGTACAAAGTCATAGGCATTTATGAATGAGTTCACACTCTAGTCACAGTTGGACAATTTCTCTCATCTTGACTTTTATTTCCACTAGAGTAACAAATCATACGTTGCTCTTTTTGTTTCTTTATCCATTCGGTGCAAACTGATATTTATTTATTCAAAAACATTTGGTTAGCATTTCAAAAATCTAAATATAAGACTCAACAAACCCAAATATCTTACAAATGATATATTTGGAAGTTTATAATCATTTTTTGTACAATGATAAATTTCATATTTTAGTCCCAACAATTTGTTAATAATATTATTATCCAAGATTATCTATGTCAGTGTATTTGTGCTGTCATTTTGTATCTTTGCTTTATCAATTCCACCATATTCATATTCATAATATTATTGTTATCATCAATATTAAACAATAATTTTAAAGGGAAATGTGTAAATAGTTAGTTGACAGTGGGCATTGTGTAAACTGTATATAAAATAAAAGGTAATAGCTTGTCAATTCCACAGAGCAGTGTAACTTAGTTTACCGCTGTGGAAAAAGCCACTTATAACTGCACCACATTTAAATTTAAATTTTGGCACTTTTTATGTAAGTGCTATTGTTGACAGGGCATTACAATGGCCAGGTGGTCAAATGTTGATATTTAAGCTGTGATCTAAAATATGTGACGACATGTTTAAATAATTTAAGTTTTGTTAGAAACTTTGTCCACATCATTAAACTAAGTTACACCTGAGGACATTCTTATATTTTATGGCAGTAACAGGCCATCATTACCTTATATTTATTTTCACACTGTATTTCAAGTCTTGTGGATGAATGTGTGTTAAGAAGCATACTACACTATAAGATTGTGTATGTTTGAAAGTTTGTTGTTTTTACATTGTCTATGTCCAGTGGATGAATGTATGTTAAGAAGCATACTACACTATAAGATTGTGTATGTTTGAAAGTTTGTTGTTTTTACATTGTCTAAGTCCAGTGGATGAATGTATGTTAAGAGGTATATACACTAAAGATTGTGTATGTTTGAAAATTTGTTGAATTTAGATTTTATTCCAAGTCTAGTGGATGAATGTGTAAAGGATTATAACATAGATAGCAACAATAGTTTTAGTTTGAAAGTTTGATGATGTTTTGACATACTATGGATGTGTTGTTGATCATTGACATGTCAATGTATTATTATAAAATAGAAATAGATGTTGACAATTTTTCAGTTATTATGTTAATGTTATACTTTTTGTGTGGTCATCAGGTAGCAGGAGAGATGGTCATTACAATATGGCATTAATTGACCATCTAGTCCACTGTTATAAACTAAACCTTCCTTTGTCTCAAAGTAATCTTTGAATGAGATCTGGCTGGTCTGCAACTGACATGTATGGGTTCTTTTTTCATGATTTAGTTTACATGTGCAGTAAATGTAGGGAGAGGAAAATGAATGTAGTACAAAAATTGAGCTTAATCTGTGTTAGTTGAGGTGTTTGTGCTCCAAAAATCAAACTTCTCTTCTTTTGAATTGCCCACACAGTCACAGAAATAATAACATTTGTTTGTGGCTACTATACAGGTCACAATTTTATCCAACTTTGCTGAAACTTGAAATATAGGTTTATATACCAAAGATCTTGGTTCCTTTCGATAATGGCATGTATCGGACCGTAACTTCATGGATTATTGCCCCTGATTATACATACAAATTAAATCATGTTTTTAGCTTGTGGACCCTCTAGAGGTCACAATTTTTATCCGATTTGATGAAACTGAAAATGTATGTTAAAACCCAAAGAACTTAGTTCGTTTCGATATTGGCACATATTGGACGGTATCTGCCTGGATTATTGTCCCTGATTGAACGTTGAACGAAAAATCACGCTTTTAGCTTGTTGACGTTCTAGAGGTCACAATTTTTATCAGATTTTAAAAATTGTTCAAATATATCACCATTACACCCTTTGTCCGCGCAATTTTTATCTGATTTAGATAAAACCTGAAATATATGTTTATATCCCAAAGATCTTGGTTTCTTTCCATATTCGCACATATCGTACCAAAATTTTCTAGATTATGGCCTCTGATTGTTAAAAAAAATTGTGTTTTTAGAGGTCAAAACTTTTATCAGATTTTGAAAACCGTTTAAATATATAACTGTAGCACTCAAATGATGGTTGAGTTTAAATTTCATGAAAATAAGACCGAAACTGCCCGGCAAAATGGCCACTCCTTGTAAGCAAATACTGTAAAAGTATGTAATACCAATCATGGACCCTCGAGAGGTCACAATTTTTATCTGATTTACATGAAACTTGAAATATATGTTTATATCCCAAAGATCTTTATTCCTTTTGATAGTGTTGTATGTCGGACTGTAACATCCTGGGTTATGGCCCCTGATTGTGCGAAAAATCGCTTTTTTTTAGCTTGTTCTCTGTCCACTTTTGCAAAGTGTAGGGATATCTTGCATGGCAACTGCTTGTTGTACATACATTCAAAAATGAACTAGTCTTGCGTCCAATGCACAACATCACGATTAAGAACTACGACGTATTAAAAGGATTTTACAGACCTTTGATGCAATTTTCTATGGAGACAAAAGATGGTGTGAATAATACCTCAGTAGTAGCATGTCAAAACAAGACTGAAATGGAACAGGGTTTAATGTCCCACCAACACAATACTTTGGTAATTTTTATACGCACACATTTATATGTGGGCGTATATTGTTGTCTCCTCCGTCAGTCGGTCGGTCTGTCCGTCTATCCGATTGACTTTAAATTTATACACAGTGTTTAAGGTCATGAGACGAAGAAACCTATTGATTTTCAGTGATTTCCGATAATTACTTCCAGAGTTACGGGCCTTGATCACTTTAAAAAATCTTGTGGACGTTCTACAGGCTATATTTATACACAGTGTTTAAGGTCATGAAATGAAGAAGTCTATTCATTTTCAGTGATTTTCGATAATTACTGCCAGAGTTATGGCCCTTGATCACTTTGAAATATCCAATTGACTTTAGATTTATACAGTATTTAAGGTCATGAGATGAAGTAGTCTATTGATTTTCAACGATTTCCAATAATTACAGCCAGAGTTATAGCCCTTGATCACTTTAAGATATCTTGTGGACATTCTAGAGGCAAAAGTTAATATCCGATTGACTTCAGATTTAACACAGTGTTTAAGGTCGTGAGATAAAGAAGCCCAGTGATTTTCAATGATTTCCAATAATTACTACCAGAGTTATGACCCTTAATCACTTTGAAAAATCTTGTGGACGCTCTAGAGGCTAAAGTTAATATCCGATTGAAATTTATACACAGTGTTTAAGGTTGTGAGACAAAGACGTCTATTGATTTTCAATGATTTCAGATAATTACTGCTAGAGTTATGGCCCCCGATCACTTTGAAATATCTTGTGAACAC